GGCCGCAGCAGCAAGATGGTGGTGGCCGGGTGGCACGCAGCCATCCCCACCACCACCCTGCGCTGTGCCGCTGCCGCCGGCCACACAGCTCTAAGCATGGCGCCACGTGAAAACTCAAGCCCCGCCCCCCTCCCACCCTGCGTACAGTCACCAATTTTCACCTTACGCACTGACTTCAGCACCTAACCCCCGTGTAAGATGCGACTGACCTGTAACTGCCTGCCCCTGCCTTACACCCCAAGATACTGAGGCCTTCACTTCACTTAAAGCAGAGTGGACATACCTTAAGTATATCCTTTAGACTTCAGTAATAGAATAGATGCCTAGTTAAGTAGACACACAATATTTATATGCTTTACTCTGAACCATTCAACATACAAGGGCCTCACTGAATGCAAAACACCACCCTATTATAATAAAGCTTTTGGGTTAATATAGGTGTTTGTTTATTCATTGTAGTATCTATTCTGATTAAGCGGTCAGAACAAGACTGGTAATTGTTCTTTACTGGGGGCTTAAACAGGAAGTATTTCATGAATTATACAAGACTGTTCTCTTGCCATCCCACCGCCCCCAAGCAACCTCAGCTGGAAAATGTGCTGAGTGACAAGCTTCAATGGATAATTAGGCAGCAATGGTAAGCAGAAGCTGCAGTGTGACAAGGGAAGATGCGGGGCAGAAAGGGGGGTGGGGGGAGAATGGGACAAGAGAGCAACCCTCTGCGAAGTGCAAAGACAGCTGGGACAGTTGGGGATAAGCAGGTTAGTAAGCCACAGGCTGGTCTCAGATCTCTTCACAAGCTAGATCTAGCCCACAGGCCAAAAGGTTTCTAACCCCTGATCTAAATGTTTTGTATCCAGTGGTGTTTCTACATTGCAATAGGTGGTGTCTCCAGCAAGTGTAGACATAGCCAAGCTAGCTTTAACTTAACTACCCTGGGTACCAACAGCAGTGAAGCCAGGCAGTGCATGCTCAGCAGCCAAATAAAAGCCCGAGATCTTTGGCATGCTCGTGCAGCCCATGCTGCCACAACTGTGCTGCTTTGAGTGTCTGACCTAGGCAAATTAAAGCTAGTGTGGGTATGTTGTATATATTGGCAGCAAGCATTCCTCTGATTGCAGCAGACACCTTGCTTCCAAGGCAAAAAGCTGCTTAGACATAGATTTCTTCTGGTTTGTACATATTGCAATATTCAGAATTTGTGGAAGTCTGTCTCCATACCAAAGCAATCTGTATAAATTTTCTTCACACAAAAAGCTCAGTGTTAGCCAAGTGTTGCTATAACAAGATAAATGACATACCAAAAACCCTCATGGCCCCTTCCTCTTACAGCTGGCCTCCTTTCCTGTTAACCCACCTACCTATGCTAAATGCAATTAACCAAAGATAATTTGATACTTTTAATGCACTTTATACTTCAACCTACAAAATCTGTGATAAATAGTGAATGCTGCAAGCCTACTTGATTTTAATAGGTTATAAAGAAATCTTTTACCAACAACTCCTGTCCACGTTATTTGCATACGACATATTAATCCATAGTAATAATGATCTCAAAGTACAATGGATAGCAGCATTCCTAGAAGATGAATGTCTTTCAAACTGTGCAAATATTCCCATACACGCTTTGTATAAGGAATTCAGAATTTATCAAGTAAGCATGCTAAGAGGATAAGATAGTCTTCAGTCTAGTAAGGAACTGCCCTAGTGTCAGTTCCAATATAAGTGAAAAATCTCTTTAAATTAATATCTTTATAACTCTATTATGAAAAACTTTGGACTAGGAAGAAGGAATTTCTCACTCAGTTTTCTCTATATGCAGAGGCCAGTAAATGGACGTGGGAGTAGTTCAATAGAATAGCGTGATCACTAGAAGTGTTGGGGAGTACTTTAATTGACTTGAGTATCACAGCATCCTGAGTGAATATCAGATAGGGATAATTACCCAGCTTTGGAGAACTTGGTGCAAAAAGAAAGTGTCACAAATGCTCAAACTAATTAGCACTATTCAACTCTTGCTAAGGAAGGGGAGGGGAATGGAAAGTACTAAGACATCAGCGTCTTTTTCTGGGCTCTCCATGTAATACCACTGAAAAGTAGCTAAGGCCCTCTTTGCAACCATGAGAAGTAGTGTCTTGCTTCTTAAAAAAGGAGGCTTTTCAAGAATTGGGGTGGAAAAGAAAGGGGAATTCAGCATATGAATGTCCATTAATAGAGCATTCTTGTTTAAAAGATCAGCCAATAAACAGATATTTAGCTCTTGCTAAAATAAAACAAAGCTCATATAACCTTAAAATAAAGTTGTATGAGCTTTGTTTTATTTTAGCAAGAGCTAAATGTCTGTTCTTAGATGGCATAACAGAGTAAATTTAAATACTGTGTACCATAAATGATCAGTTAACCACATCTACTTGTTGCATTAAATCGAGAATCAAGTGTCACTAAATATGTTTTACAATTATGTGGGGGGGTTTTTTACTAGGCTAGTTTTATTTTAAGCCTTCTTCCTCTGCAAATTTAATTTGGTCAATCTTTTCCTTAGACAAATTCTTGCTAGTATCCAAATATGAATGTATTTCTTAAAAGTCACTTTTCCTTCTCTATTTAGCAAAGTTCTAATGTTTACCACACAACATAAGACTATAGTCCAATTAATAGCTCAAACTTTGCATTTTAAATGCACGCTTACTCACAAAAGCTTTATATTCTATACGGTCTTTCAAAAGTGTTCAACCAACTGATTGTTTTAGCTTTGAGGAAAATCATTGGGTATGAAAATGTTATTAAACATCTTTTATCCCGTTACCTCCAGTTTTTATTTTGAATTTACTAAACACAGAAAAAGCAACATTCATCTGAAATCTTCAATAGTCAAAAAGACTTTTGAAAGACATTCCCTAATTTTTATATAAATGCTAGCCCTAATAGACATCATACTTAGTTCTTATCAAGTTTTCTCTGGAGATCCAAAACAGTATAATCTTCAAGCATCCACCCAAAGGTATTTCTGTAAGTTTTCTTACCACCAATATTTGTTGCCTAGCAATGAAAGTGCTACAGAAAGAAAACTACCATAGTATCCCAACCTATAAACCAACCAATGCTTAAATGTTATTAGTGGAATAATCAGAAGAAATATTGTAATCAAGCAACATGAGTATGTCATTACTTTATATATTTGATGTTACAAAATGTTAAAATGGTGCCTATCTATCGATTCTAGGAACCATTAAAATAACTTTAAAATATATTCAAAGTGCAGCAAATTAAAGGGAACACACCACTAATCTTTGTGCCTCTCCAACATTTCCTAACCTTTCCAATACTACCCCCACCCCATACAGGAGACATGTTTATACTGTTTCCATACTGGGCCCAAAAGCACTGCAAAGAAGCACATCACTGCCTCCTCTGGGTGTGATTCTATGAGTGGGCACATGCATTTTCTTGGGGACAAGTAGCAGCAGCACAAAGGTGTATTGTTGCTATTTGGCACGGTGTTCCCTGGGGACATGCATGCTCTGGTGCACAGCAGGTGGGATAAGGAAGTCTAGGGCCAGCAACTGTGCTGGCCCCAGCAGCCTTACCTGAGGTCCTGGGGGCTTCCAGGAGCTGCAGCCTCAGCACTCCTACAGCAGGGAGTCTGGTCACCAGCTGGAGTGTGGCTCCAGCCAGCCAGGCTCCAGTTTTGGGCAGTGTACACTGCTGCCACATGTGCCCCCCCAAAAAAGCGGGGCGGCACATGTGGCAGCAGTGTACACTGCCCAAAACTGGAGTGGGGGGGGGTTACCTCGGGTTCTCCAGGGACACTGCTGCAAAGTAGCAATGTGGAGAAGGCCTGCATATGCAGTGTGTGGCGCTGCAGATCTGCACTCGTCTGGATGCACCCTCTCACTCCATGCCTAGAATATTGGCTAACAATATAACCACCTCAGAGCAGCACTGACCACATATTAAGACACCAAACCAGGACTAAGACTCAGAGCATTCACCACTTCTGTATGGCAATTAAGTTGTCTGATTTCTAGCATTTGGGGGGTTCAAAGCAAGAACAAGGGGCTAACGCTTCTTGGTCGTATTCCTAGCCTAGAGACAAGATATATATGTCCACCCACTCTAGATACACATTTGAGGGGGAGGAGAAAGATCAGCTCTGAAACAAAAAGGATACAGCTCAAACTCCAGATCCGATACAAAACAGGAGGGTAAGTCTGAAAGCACCACCATCTGCAAAAATTGTAGTGCAGGACCATAATAATGGAAAACCTGAAACAAAAGTAAAATTTAGAACTTTATATTTGATACTTTATTGAAATAAGTCTTGTTTGGGTGCTTTGCCGCACTGGGACCATATTTTAGAACACATTTAAATGAGTACACGGGGTAGGGGAGAGGGAAAAAGGTTTTCCAGAACAATATAACTAAATATTTTTAAGAGGACAAACATATCATATTTTCTCACATACTACGTCTTAATGGGGGCATGCACCTTGTTTTGGGGAAGGCAGAATGAAGCCCAGCATTATGGCTACATGGAGCAGGTACAGAGCTTAATCTTCAGCTCACTCACCCTCCCTACCTGCTCTGTCAAAAGGTACAGTTTTAACCCTTTCACAGCTGAACCGGCTGCTTTTGTTTGGGCAGAGAAGGCATTGTGAATGAGCTGAAGATTAAGTTCTTTCCCTACCAATTCAGTTGTGAAAGGGTTAAAACTGTAGCTGCTGATGAGGACTCTGCCCCGCTTTCTTTGTGTACTGATGGGGAAATGGGAAAGAGGAGGAAGACCCATAGCAGCCATCTTACAGTCTCTCCGTGCTTCTATTCCATGCAGGGGGGAATAAATAAATAAATAAATAAATTCCTTGCTTAAGACGCACACCACAATTTTAAAGTACTTTTTTTTTTTGGGGGGGGGGGGGGGGGGTAATCTATAGATTTTTAATTGTATTTTTGTGCAGGTAAATATGGTATGCTGGTGTCTAATAGGTTTCATCTATTATACATCCTAGCCCATCTCAGATATACAAGACCACTCATCACATCTTCCCTCAAAAACAAACAAAAAAATTATCCAAGGGCAGACCAAACAATTTTATATAAACAGCTCTGTCGTGATTATAACTTACCAGTTAATCATATATTTTAAAAATTTTTGCTGCACCAGAAAAATATATATTTTGGGACCAATAATAGAGACCAATGTCCACTGAAAGGAAAATTCTAATTCCAAATTCTACTTCTAAAATTAACTCCAAAATAAACCAGAAAATGTAAATACAGACAGTATGCATGTTACAGCAATGCATTTACTGAACACTGAATTCTCTGAATGCTAAAAATCAGAACCATCTTGCCACTTCTGCTGTGAATATATACTATCCCATTTTAGAGAACATGTAATTAATTAAACCAAATGTCGCCGACAATATCTAGACAAAAATAGGAACAAAACAAGCCTGTACATTATGTAGTTATTACTTCTAACTTCATTTCTGAATCCTAAGTACCATTTCCCTCATTATTAATTTTCTCACGAAGGTAAAAATTATAAACTGTAGTGGTTCAAAAAAGATCAAAACATAGGTCTTACCTCTGGCAAAATATTGCTATTCTTTGATTCTGTTGTGTTCTTGGCAGCAAAGCAAGTATTTAAATGAGAAGTGCTGAATGGCTTTGCTGAGACACCCCTTATGCAGAACTCTGGAAACCTAACTTCAGATCCAAACTAAAAAAACACCCAGAAAGTATATTAGAAAAGGACAGGGAGAATGAATTAGGCTCCAGTTCTTAATGCATCTATTAAATAACAGGCAAAATGATACAAAACACAGCATTATTTTAATAATGTCTCATTTTAATAATGGACCCATTTCTCTGCACTCTGACAGACCATTACTTTTAAAGGATATGCCTGTATTCAGGCTGATGCCAACAGAACTGAATAACTTGGCAAGAATGTTAGGAATTCTGCACCAAGGGTACAGTGGCAGACCAGTTAATGTATTGCACCATGGGTCCAGAGGCACACGGTTAGGCATCCCACCAGGTTTGTGCAGAAGTCTATCCCCAGTCAACCCAGCTATAAGTTGGTATTTGGTCATTCAGACTGGGTAGTCAAATGCAGCTAGATCAGGGGTGAGCAATTATTGCGACTGTAGGGCCACTTAATAAGTTTGGGGGAGCTGATGAGGGCCACACCCAACTCTCTGTTTTTCTCTCCCTTCCTTCAGAACCTGGCAGGAGCTGTAGTTTGACAGGAGCCCCAAAGCTCAGCTGTGGACCCAGATAGGGGCTTCCACTGCAGCAGGCAGGCAGCAGCATTAGCTGTGGGCGCAGCTAGCAGGTTCAGGAGCCCCAATGTGGAATCTGCTGGCAGCGTCACAGCTGATGCCTGCCCAATATGGCAGAAGCTCCTGCCTGTGTGCACAGCTGACACTGCCAATGAGTTCCAGGTCAGGGCTCCAGGCGGGAGCTTCCACTGTGCTAGGAGGGCAGTGGACACCATCAGCAGGTTGTGTCAGGGCTCCTGAATCTGCTGATTGAGTCCACAGGTGATGCTGCTACCTGCCTGCTGCGGCAGAAGCCTGGCCCAGGTTTACAGTTGATGCCGCTGTATCAAGGGCTGATGCTGCTGGATGGAAGCAGTCTGACCCAACCATGTGGTGGCCAGAGCTGCCAGCCACCCAGAGGTCAGATCCAAATGAATTTTAAACAGTAAGATCCCGCAGGCCATATTTTGCCCATGCCCACACTAGCAATGCTAGCAACATTTGTTTCTTGTGTGCCACCGACTACTGAAAGTGTCATGCTTTAAGCATAATAAATTTTAATTGTAACAATATACTACATCCAAGATACTCGACACTGAAAAATATATTCATTTTCTTCTACAGCTGAACAGTTCCTGATCTGTGCAGAATTACAATATTAGACCATTTAGATAAGCCCCACAAAATAGCACAGAAAGAAGGAAAGGACTTGGACCAGACAACAAATTGTTTTTGGGTTTTTTTGGTTTATTTTAACTACAAAACAAAAAGGTTGTAAAAAATTAATGATTAAAAGTTAGACTCTTAAATCCATACTTAAGATACTGAAAGCATGAAGCTTTACATTTTAGTTATATTTTAAAATAACTCACATTTTTAATCAGAAAAAAATATTATTTTTAATCATTTTCCATCCAACTAGATTGTTAAAAGAAATCCAGCTGAAAGCATTTTGATTAAGACTTTGACACAATTTGTATTGTACAGCAATTACAGTGTCCTAGAAAAAGTTGATCACAAGTAGAAACAGCTATTTACCTTTCTTTCCCATATCTGAATCTTCCCCCTCCACAGCTCTTTTGAGTCAATAATATTTTTTAGATCATCTAAAGCTACAACATCTGCTGACAGGTAGTCTGCAATTTTTTGCCAGTTGCTGTATACATAAGGAAAAAGTAATCAATTTCTTATTTAATTTAGTTTTATAAGTGAACATGCAGCAAGACTTAATTCAACGCATCTAATATAGCTAGGCACTAAAACCTACAAAGGTAAACATGTATGACTATTTATACAAAATAATACAGATATGCTGACACTTACTCCTTCAGAGAGCATTTTCATGCTCTACCAGGAAAAAGCAGTCAACCTGGGCACATATCAAGCAGTAGCCATCTAGGCAAATTCTGTAGTCCCTGCTGTGACTCACTGTAGCACAGGGTGTCTGTACTTGAGCTGACTTTAAAAGGATTAGTTTGGGTACTAGTAGCAGTCTAGTTCCAGCAGACTGTAGCATAGAGCTTGGCCCAAGCTAATCACCTAAATGATCTTCCAGCTTCTCAGGTTGGTTCTGCAGCATATACTGAGCTCCATGCTGCCACAGGTTCCCAACATAACTAGGGTTAATGTAGTTCAGAGTGGAAAAAGATACTGCCCGATGTCTCATTTGTGCCACCATAACAATTTTTATGGCAGCACAAATTGTGAGCAAGTAGACATTGTTACCCCTTCCCCTTGTTACACCACAAAGGAACAAAATCAGTGGTGCAACAAAAGGCAGTAACAGACTGCCGGTTTATTGTGGCAGACATCCATTAGCTCTGTGGCAGGAGAGCAGGGCAGCCTGAGCCACCCCTACTCTCCAGCCACCCAGGCAGGAGGATCTTGAGGGCCCCTTAAGCCCTGCCGCTTTCCCTGCTTACAGAGAAGCAGCACAGGGAATCTAAGGATGCCTCTCCAAAAGTGGGAAAGTTGGGGTTCCCTGCTCAGCCAGACCCATCCCCTGCAATCACAGAAACGTCTCTCATTGAGCAGGGAAAAGCCCCAGTTTACCTGCTTATTCAGACCCACTCCTACGATTGTTGGGGACAGGTCTCGCTGAGGGAGGAAAGCAGAGAACAAGGGTGGGACAAGGGGCAACATATTTTTTGTCTAATGAAGCAGATCAACTGTGCCATGACACACCACAACACAAACGATCTGCTTTACTTGGCAACATCTACTTCTAGCCTCAGATATAAACACTACATACCACTGCAGTCAGTACTGACTGCAACATAAGTATACCTCTTCATCAGCCCATTATTTGCAGTCTGCATACTCCATAGTTTGCCATCTAATGAAGTAAGAGATGGTGATGGAAAGAGAAAACATCACCTTCTTTTGCCAATTAGAGGCTTTCCCTTCCCTTGTTATTTCTTTGCCTTGGCATACTGAAAGAACAGGCCCAGATTGCCTCATTTTGTGCAGCACAAGACAGGCCTAAGCTTATCTGATCAAAAGTAAGCTGCCCAAGGAATCAGTAATCAATATTGTTTGAGATTAGTAAGGGTTTTTCCACTCATGATATATTGGTTCATTTTTTTCTATATCCCCCCATACATGTTAACAGGCATTGCACAATAAGTAGATGCTTCCTGTAGCTAAAAAGTATTCTTTTTAGGGTCTATCCAAGAATTATGCATTACCGCATTTTTGTTTACCATGTTCCTAACAATATAAAATTAAAGCCGTCTCTCAAGCACCACGCTTGAAATTTTGACAAAAAAAAGTACATAATAGCAGATGATTGTAATTTGCATGGCTGGACTTATTACGATGCTTTTTTCTCTCCACAGAAAGAAAGCTGTTGAGGAGAGTTGTGGCTCAGAATAAAATACACTCTGCTGGATATCAAGAGCTCAGCATTTATTAATTAGAAGAGAAGGAATTTTCTGTACTAAGTTAACTGTTTTGTTTCGTTTGTTATTGAGGTACATTAATAAAGCCATTTAAGTACAAGTGAAAGCACTTAAAAGCTAGAAAAAGTCATTATATTGTGTTGTCTAGGGGAGGCCAAAGAATGCAATCATTAAATTAGAAATGCTGAAAGTAATCAACAACTTCAAAATGACAAAACCAACAAGTTTATATCCATTTTACAAAACCAGATCAAAATCTACTAATAGTTAATAATAATCATCATGTACTGTAACATATTAACTTCATAGAACACTTTATGCAAAATAAAGGGGAAAGTATGTACAAGAGAAAATTAAATGCTATATTTTATCTTTGCTTTGTTAATAATAGATATTGTAAACACATGGTTTTGACAAAGAAAAAAAATGCAAGATATTTAAATAACAAAACTGCCCGGAACTCTTTTTAAAAATGACATGAGAAATCCGTAAATTCTTAAAAAATGCCTGTCAAGTGCTATGAAAGTTCATGAACTTAGTTTCAAAACAGCAGCATACCCAAAACAAAAAATGATTTTGTTTGCATATATCAAATAAAAAAACCCATACCCTTTACAGTCATTTGCTATTATTGTGATTTTTGCAGAGTGCCATTCTCTCAGATGTTTCAGGGCACCAATGGCAGGCAAGCAGTCTTTTAACTTGGGGGCATCAGGTTCACCAGTCTGTAGTATTACATCAACCATAGCTCTTCCTATAAATGCAATTACATATGCTGCAAAATTACTATGATACATTCAAGTTCTGGAAACAAGCATTCATCTTATTTTAAGGATTTAATCAAACTTAGCAAAATACACCACAGAAAGCATGCCTTATTACGGACTACTATTAAATGTATTAAAGGGACCACCACAAGTAATTTAGGTACAAGATTTGAAGTATTTCTAGATGGCTTTTTTTAGCATTACCTTTTGGATGGTTAGTCATCCGCTTATAGTTAACACAGACAAAACCGAATTTATTGTTTTCCCTCCTTCTCTATCAGCATCAACAACTCTGGTTCTCCTGTCACTGAAGCCTCTTATTCTCCTCTCTCTCTTATTCTACCCAACACATCTGGACTGTGCCCAATTTCTTCCTGATTGACATATGCATGTGCCATTCTTCTCTTCCTATCCTACAACTCTGCCTCAACTACTGCAACAGTCTCCCTGGCTTCCTAAAACACTCTTTTAGAAATACTTAGGTTTATATGTAAAATCTAAATGCAAATCTAAAAATATCTAAATGTACTACTATTAATACAATATTTAAGCATATTGTATTTAAATACTGAAATATATATATCTATACACAAACTGCAGTTGGTAATGCCTGTCAAGCTGATTTTCATTCCCTTTAAACCTCTCTACTGCTCACATCCTTTATAGGGTAAAACAAATTTAAGCTGTCTGTCATTTTCAAAGCTCTCTGTAATTACTCCTCCCTGCTCAGCTTTGTACATCGAGTATTCACACAGGCTACCTCATTCTCCTTCTTAACCATTGTTCTCAGCAATATCTACTATTCTCTTATCTTCTTACATGGTCACTTGAATCCCTTTCCATTCCCCCTTCCTCCTGACCTGATTTGCAACGGTAACATTTTCTCCATTAGTTCTTCCAACAACTACCTCTGTGGAGCTGTTTAGAGTGAAGCCAGAGGGCAAACGCTGTCATTCCTGTACCACTAGCTTTTGTCTACTTATCCGTGCGGCTTTGCATAAACAGAGTTCCAAACCATTATGATAAATACATACTTCTCAGTGGTCTTCTCCAGAAGACTGATTTTTTTGATTTCCACATATTGCATGATTACCTGGAGCAGGGAGCTTGTCTGACAACTGATGAAGACTCTCTGCAGCTTCTTCATAAACACTGAGATTAAGTTGGGGAAACAAAATTACATATATAATAATTTAGAACTGAGTTGGAAAGATGCAAGTGATATTTATCACTTTGTAGAGTACTTTGAAGATGTTAAACACTAACATTTTCATCAAATGAACCCAATATGCATCAGTCATCTTCACTTTTACTGAAGAAAGAATAGGTTAAGTGCTTTCGTACAGGAGACTCACTTGACGATAGAATTAAGGTTATCTGGTTCCTAGCCCTATGATCTGTGTATTAACCTAGACTCCCTCTAAAGTGAATTACCAAACGTATTTTCCATTTCACATGTGTGTCCTTATGAGGACCAGAAGTTAATACCACAGCTAACTACCAACAGTTAGGTAGGTATTATACTAGTTATATTTAGCACAAATCATTTTATTTTCACCAACTCACGAAACTTGTTTCTATATATAAGTGTACTCTGCAGCAGTTTATTTTCCAAAGGAAATACGCCAAAGCATATTTTAGGATGCAAGAAATGAAAATGCAAGTGCATATAGCTTTGAAACCTTTACCACATAAAACCTAGGATTTTAAATTAAAAGGTCTTAGGAATCTAAGAGTTTTCCATAGTTCAAAATCATAAAAAGAACAGAGTCATTTGGTTCCCTTTATGTTAAGAAGGGCAAATGCCAGTGACTTTACTTTATTATTACTTAGACTGCATGCTAATTAACCACTTAGACTGGTAACTGCCTCACTATTTAATTTGCAATTTGAAACATAAATCTGACCCATCTGACCCTCTTTAAAGTATTTCCTGAATTCATGTCATAGGAAAGTTGCGCTATGTTGTTTCAGTGTATTGTTCACAAGCACTGTTTTTCCCCCCTCGGTCGTTTTATTTTAGAAGGCAAGAAACTTATTTCTGTTTTTTCCTGAGATTATTCTCATCCTTTTTTACTGTATGCATTTCTTTAAGGTTTTTACTTATTGTTGGATTAGTGACTTCCTCCTCTTTTGCATTGCATTCTAAGATGCTGAGATGGATATGGGAAAAGTCTTGCTGCAGGTGGCGAAAATCCAAAGCTCTTGCCTGAAATGCAACCTGTACTTATTAAATATCAAATTAATATATGTTTCAATAAAGGTTTAATAAGCCTACTCAGTCAGCAACAGTGACTCTCTGCTGTTACTATCTTCCTCCTCAAAACCCAGGCATTCTTCAGTATTTGTTTGGAGAAAGTGTTCAGTTTCATTTTTCTTTGAGTCAAAACTAATCTCTTCCCAGTCCAGACTGCAGAACTAGTGAAGCAAAAATAATGCATTAATTACGGTCTGGTTTATGTTGATCAAAGTTTGTTTAGTCAGCTACAGAACTCATAAAACTTCTCCCTCTTACCTGGCAAAACCCACTTACAACTTGATTTGCAAAATACCACTTCCTCATGCCTGGAATACCAGTCAATGAGCACGCTAAAATGAAACGAAACAAATTATTAAACATAAGCTAGGTAATCATTCTACTATTTACCACTTATATTCTTATCACGAAGTCTACATCCCTCCCCCTCAATCTGTATCTCACCCACTGACTGCCTCAATTTGAATTTTCACTGACTGGCATTCTTGCATACTGGCTTCTGGCTTCTATTCCATTCCATCCACGGAGTACAAACCAACTGCAAACTTCCTCAGCCTCAAGAAGAGTGTTTGTACCCAAAAGTTTGCAAAGAAGAACTTTTCCAAATATTTTAGTTCAGGGGTGGGCAAAATGCGGCCTGCAGGCCAGATGTGGCCCGCCAGGCCATTCTATCCAGCCTGTGGGGTCCCAATAAAATTTAGAAAAGTAATATTTATCTGCCCCAGCCACCTATCATGTGGCCCTCGATGGCTTGCCAAAACTCAGTAAGCGGCCCTCCGCCCAAAATAATTGCCCGCCCCTGTTTTAGTTGGTCTAATAAAAGATATTGGGTTTACCCAAAGAACCTTGTCTAATCATAAGCCATTCATCTATAATACACTCTTCCATTTAAAATCTCCCTCATGAAAGATTCTGAATGATGAATTGTATATGTAATCTTACTGTTTTGGTCGAGTTAGAAATTCAAGTAATTTAGTCATTTGGCATATGAGCGTTGTCAGAAGACAACAGCATGTTGTTTTTTTATGGGTTCTTTCTTTTGGTGAATCTATACCTTATCATTGCAGGCTTTGTTTTGGTCAGCTTAAGGACCAATTCTAATATAATAAAAGCCTTACCATTTCTGTCCATGAGGCTCCGGGTCAAATGCGCATGCGTGGCATGAGGCTGCAGGGTGCCATGAGGGGAGTGGGCAGGGGCGCACAGTCAGCTCCTGCCGAATGCAGCACGTGGTCGCAGGGCACGGCGTGTCCCCAGACACACTCCCCACATGGCACCCTGCAGCCATGCACCATGTCCCCACCTACACCAGGAGCAACAAGACACGGGAGGGGTGTGCTCTGTGGGTGCAGGGAGTAGGCATGATGAGCATGCCCCACCCTACAGCCATGTGCTGCACTAGTCTACACTATAAAAGTAATCTAGGTAAGAATACTTTGTTATAATATAACTAAGGGGCACTTTGTACCTGAACATTTGGATAACTTCTCTCCCAACTATATAGTTTGTTCAATAAAAGATACTACCAAAAAAAAAACCCAAACAAACAAACCCTTATTTCTCAAGTATTTCCTAAGACAGAAACATACACATTCCCAATTTGCAACACATGAAGAACATCACATTAAATTATATGTGTAGGATCTAGTCACCGCTATAAATTCCTTCCATTCCAATCTGGGTTAAATTAGACAACTGTAATTTGCCATTTCCATTCACGGTAAACTGAACTGAATAACAATGACATTTTGGACAAGTTATCAACACTGCGATGTCATGGTTTCTCTCTCAAGGTTTTGCAAACAACCCAATTAATGATCACATTTTAATATGCTAGTGTCACTCAAACACTAGTTTGCTTTTGGCATCACAATTGAAACTAAAAGCATCAAATCCCATAGGATCCTTCAATTGTTGCAAGGATAAGTGGCAAGATAATATACAAGTGCTGAGCTCCACCAGAAAAAGCTCTTTATTTCTTAGGATCAGGCCTCAACCATGCCACAAAGGGATTTACTTAGCAGAGGCACTGCAACAAGTCAGAGGCAGTAGAGAAAGAGCTCCCAGGCCATTGCTCCTACAGGTAGTTTTCAACATTACTGAATTACATTGCTGAAGCTGCTAGGAACAAGTTACAATCTTGTAGTTCAACAAAGTCATTGTACAACCCCTCACAGAGACACAACAAAAACTCCATTTTACAAATACTAGATGAAGTGACATCACATTTTCCCCCCTAACTACCTCCATACCACACACACCTGGCAATACAAACAAATACAACATTTAGGGTGGGTGGACTAAATGAACATTTAACTGCAATACTTAATCACTTAATATCAATACTTAATATATTATTATGCAAAGTACTACTAGGGATGGTTAAAACCACAAAGATTATATAAATATATTATTCAACAGGTTTTAATGGAATCTGTCAAATAATTCGTCTTGATTAATCTATTAGAGTAGCTGGAGAGCTAGTCAAATACCACAAAAATATACCGTGTGCTCAATTTTAAATGAACAGTCTGAAAAGAGACTATGAACTTACCCAGTGTATGCACATAACCACATTTAATGGAAATCCTTAATGTTCCTTAAGTACACAGCACACTGGTATTAGGAGTCACAAAATTAACTTGGTTTCTTCATTTCCAAGGCTTTTAATAGTCCCCGTCAGGGATGCTATTATAAACCTTGAATATGAGAGAAGCTAGCCAGTTTGGGGACTGCTAGCGCCATAAGATTGACAGTGCTGTAAATAGTTCTCATTAACTACACCGTGCTGTGGTATTAGCAGCCCCCAAATTGACCAAATTGCTTGGCCCCCGCTTGAATATAAAATGAGAGGCTCCTCCCCATCATGATGAATGGGGGAAAAAAAACCTCTTATATTCAAGTAAATATGGTAGGCACTTAATATTTTTTAAACAAAAGGTCCAATACTGAATTTCTATTCAATTACCAACATTTTCTACTTATCCTGGGCAATCCAATTTTCAAAGTGTGCTATATTTACCTGGGAGTGTGCTCACATCTGCATTTATAAAAGACCTAAAGTTTTCTTTCAGTAGGTTGAAAACATTTGCCGAAGTCAGACCTGAAAAACATAAATGTCCATCAGTACAAAATAAGACAAACAATTCCTTTCTTGCCAACATGTCATAAGCTTAGTCTGATACTCTGTACTATGAAAGTATATCAGTTTAACTAAATACTTCTTAAAAAAAAAAAAAAAAAAAAAAAAAAAAATCAATGCTAATTGATGCACCTAGGCTTGTTCAGGCTTAACAAGATCTATTTGTATATTGACTTAGTTGAACCAATGCACTCCAAGTACAGAAAAGCCCAAGTATGAAAACAGACTTCACATTTCTGAAATAAAATTAGACTACAAATCTCCAGTGAAAAGCAATAGCCAGAAAGTTCACAAGATCAGTGGCTGCAGTTACTTTCAGAAGGTGTTCCTGTTCCTGCTTCAGCCTACATTGGGGATCCTAATGAATGTGTGGTCTCAGTGAATGCCATGTGTTGATTTAATACTACTACTTTTGAGAAAGTAGCCAAAAAAAACCAAAAAAACACAAACAAACAAACAAACAAAAAAAAATTGAGACTTTCTGAAATTCAGATTGTTAGTTACTCCCAGAACTAGTCGGGTTTTTTTTGTTTTTTTTTTAAATACATATACTCGCAATCAAGTCAGGCATCCAGTAACATGCCAGCGGGGTCAGCTCACTTTATCAGACCATTTCTCCTAAAACCAGCCATGAGAAAGGAAAAAACAAAACAAACAAACAAAACAAACCAGAAAAAAAGTTCTCCCCACTTCCAGCCTTGATCAGACTCCAGGGCAACCTGATTTTCAAAGTGTCCAACAAGCCAACGGGCAGATCTAGGCTTCTGAAGGGTGGGGCGCAGATGATGAGGTGCATCATCCCATATATTACTTTCCCCAGCTAAAAAGAAACTAGGTGCTTCGCTAATATGCAAGGGGGCTCGGAGCGCATTATTTGGCTCAGGTTGCATTATTTGGCTAGGCACGAACAAGTGTCACTTTACTGGAAGGAGTTAAAACCAGTCTGCAGAAAGAGGCCTTTAGCTGCGCCGTTGTGCAGCACGGGCTGAAGCCCATCAAGACCAACACGGCTCTGGCTGAGGATCGATCTACACTATACAAGTAATCCAGGTAAGGAAACTAAGGGGCGCATCACTGATCACTTGGGACAACAACAACAAAAAGACAAAACAGGCACGGGAACAAGGGTCATCGGTTCAGAACGAGGGGGAACACCGAGCAGAGCGGACGGGCCAGGACGCCGGGCCGCGGAGCAAAGAAGAGCTGGGCTGGGGAAGCGCCGAGGGGGAGAAGGAGACGAGCGGGGTGAACGCAGAGCGCCCGGGCGGCACAAGGAGCCCCCAGCGCCGGCTGCTCACACAGGCCCCTGGGACTCGCCTCGCCCCGCCCCGCCCCGCCCCCACCGAACCGCCCGCCGCCTTCAGCGCCCACTTCCGCTCCCGCTTATACTTCCGCTTCCGGAAGGGAAGCTCCGCCCACTGGGGCGCCATGGCCAGCTACAGCCGCGCGGCCCAGGTGAGCGGGCTGTGCGGGGCTGCCCCTGGGCCCGCCCAGCGCGGGAGCCCCCGGGGTCTCTTTCTCCTCCCTCCCCCCAAACCTTGTGATGCTACTGATGGAAACGGCCTCCAGATTTATGCAGCGCCGGACACTGTCCTCCAGCTGCGGGGGGAAGGGGAGTTGCAGCCTGGGGATTGATTGATTGATTGGTTTGGGTTTGACGGGCCTGGTGCAGCTGTGGAGAGAAGGGAGCCTTTGTCCTTCACTGTTGTCCTCTCCGCTTCCCCGTAGCAATGGGCGACATTTGCCAGATCCTGGTTCCTCATCGACGGGAGGATGCAGCCGCCAGGGAAAATCGCTGCCCTGACGGTGGTCCGGCTGGAGGGGAAGCACAAGCCCGTGTATCACGCGCTGAGTAAGTGTGGCAGCGGTCGCATCCAACTGGCTTTGCCCCCAGAGGGGTTTTGTGTCGTGGCTGACGGGCCAACCCTGCAGCCCCAGAAACAAGGGGGGAGTTTATGCTTTTATACAGAAAATTGTAGGGGTGATGGTCACGAGCTAAAGGGAGGAAACGGGTAAAAGGTAAAGGAACATTAAAACTGCGGAAACGTATGCTCAGCACCTCATTTTCCCCCCAAATGCACGCTGCTGCTGCTGTCCCCATGGCTGAGTCCAGCTCCTTCAGTCCTGTCCTGCCCGACCAAGCCAGTGGCATCTCCATCTCCACCGTGCGCTGTCTCGTGTAGCCAGGTGTAGGCTGCTTTTTCCTCTCCTTACTCCAGCTCTCAAGCAAGCTTCCTCTCCTGTTTGCTGCTGCTTCCTTTTTCTCCCTGGCCCTGGGGGTTTGTAGGCCAAATTAGTAGTCATCATCAGTATCACAGCTCTGCTGTTGCACATTACAGTCAAGGCATTTTAGCAGTTTGGCTCTTAAAATTGTGTTGCCTTCATTCTTCAGGAGTTATAAGATTCCACATTTTTCCCCCTACTCTTGCATTTCTTTTTCTACTTGAGATCTTACATTGCATCTATACTTCTGTCTGAAGCTAGACTTTATATTGATGTTCATTCAGCATTTATGCAGCAGAACCCGTGTAATTCCTAGGGTTAGGGAAAATAAAGGTTTGTGAACCGCTCGGGTGTATGGACCACTGGTAAGCTTCTGCTGACTGGAGAAGTAGCACCCAAAGCCACAGTAAATGGACGCGTAGTTTAAAAAACTTCTACTTGGGAAGCTGTTGCAAGTTAAGTGGGTTGCAAATCACTTGGATAAAAACTATATGACTTCTGCTACATTGCACTAACATGTATACATCCCATTCATGTTTGGCATCTAGTTGCACTAGATGATCTGAATATATTTGTTTTTAAGATTTCAGCGGACGTGTTGGTTCTTCCTCTGCGGCCAGGCACAAGGATTCATTTTTAGCTCTGCACATATCTATGAGCTTTGCAGCAATAGAAATATTCTCAAGGGAGGGAGTGAATAAGCAGCCTGCAGCTGTCCCTTTTCTCCTATTCCCTGCACCTATCCCAGACTTGGTTGATCTTGGTCTGGGGGAAGTGCAGGGATCACTTCCCAGACACCTAACTGCTCCTGGGACATGGCATGTTTCCCAGACCAAGGTGAACCCGGTCTGGGACTTATATCAAGAGAAGACTCCCTGTGTTCCACTCCTCCCAGGGACTGGGGACCAGGCGGAGTCCAGCATCACTTTCTCCCTACACCTTCCCCAGACTGAGTTCACTAGTTTGGGGAAGGTGTGGGGAGTATTTCCCCTCATGGTCCCTGGGAGGCTTTAAGGGGGAGAAATGTACTGGTGTTTGTTCCTCTGGGAGAAAGTCACGTACAGGAGAGATGTTCCTCATTGAATGGAGGAAAAACTTTTCTAGCAGAAGAGTAACATTTCTCCAGTTAGAAACATAATGCCTGTCCATAGCTGATTTATGTAGTACAACTCGTGTAATGAAACCATGAATCTGTAACTGAAGATGGGAATGGAGCTCTTCTGGTAAACTGCTTGTGATTCTAGGTTGAAAACAGATTAAACCCATCTGGGTTCTGGGTTCTATCTATGGCCATTTAAAATCAGTGAATTCTCTAGCAGAAAAAATGATAACTTATTGTTATAATTAAAATATTGTTTTTTGTTGTGGTGCACCTGGGATCCCCAGTCAGAATCCTGTTTAGCTGAAGTCTATTGAACATTATGGAGAATCTTAATGAATTCAGTGACTAGGTATCACTTCCTTGGATGCAGTAGAAACCAACAGTAAGTGACAGATCCTGCCTTGAATTGCTGGCAGTGCTTAGCTCTAATCCTGCAGTCTGCTTGCATATCCAGTATGCTGTTGGCCTTCTTTTGCAGCAAGAGAATGCTGTTGGCTTGTGTATTCAGTTGATGATTCACTGTGAACTCCGCTTCTTTTTCTGCAGAACCATAGCCCAGCCAGTCCTTCCCTAGCCTTTACATATTCATGCAAATTTTTTGATGCTTCCTCCCAAATAGATATTAAGCCATTGAACATAACTGGCTGCACATCCATCTTATAGCACTTTTGTTTAGTCTGCAATTTCTTAGCTTACTAATGAAAATGTGGGGAGAGATGTTGTGTTTTATTTATTTTTTATTTTTAATAGATAATGTAAGTGTAGCTAGTTGTACTGTTCTATTGGTCAACATTTTGACTGGAAAATGTTTTTGAAACTGCTCTTAAAAGCTCCCCAACCATTTATAAAGCTTGTTTGTAGTTTTTTTTTCCCAACATCTTGTTATTACAAGCAATGCCTAAGATAGTTAAACTGGAAGAGACAAGATGCACAAGTACATATTTTTGTTTTTTTTTATTTTGTGCTTTTGACACCACAGGGGAGTTGCCCATAATTCAGGGTAATTTTTTTTACTTGTGCTGTTGGCCAGGTCTTATAACAGGGAAACACTTATTTTTTAAAGTAACACAGCATTATTTTGAAGCCATAACGATAGGAGAATACTCAAGAGCAGATATAGGTTTTAAAATGACTTGTAACTTTTTTACTGACAGAATTTCAAGTTGGTTGTCTCTCTTCTGCTGTACATATTAGGAAATTGCCTATTCATATAGAAAACTACATCTTTTTAAAGTAGAACTTTGAAAATGTATCCTAACGACATGGATGGCTTTTGTATATTTTCAGTTTCATTTTTTTTTAATGGATTTCAAAGATACACTGTTATTTAAAAAAGATTAATGAAACCTGCAGTAAAAGAATTACTATGATTATTTTTGTTCTTCTCAGGGTTGAAGTTAAGTCAGGGTAGTAGCTTAAAGGTTCAGAGAGTCAGACTTTTGTAGGCAGCAGCCTACACTGTTGTTGCTGTTAGTAGTAGTGTTACGGCACCTACAAACCTTAGTTATGGATCCAAACCCCACTGTGTTAGACACTGACCAAAAAAAAGAGGGCCCTTCCCATTCTACTGTGATTTGGTCATTAGTCTTCTCTGTGGTGGTAAGGCAAATTATCTTAGGGGATACAAGACATAAAGATATGTTACAACTTCCAATCTTGTACATTCTCTTAAGTTTAGATGCCTTCATTAAATACAAATCTAAATTGAAAATTGATTATTTCAAAACTTTCTGTAACATTCTACTCTTCAAATAGTGTCTGAAATAAGGACTTAGCATAAAGTAACTTGTGCCATTCATTCATTGTTTCACCAGGAATTTTCCTATGAAGATTTAGATTCATTTTTATTTTTCAGAGCAGAAAATATAACTTACAACATAAAGGTGATTTTAGGAATGTAAATTTTAAAGCTGCAAAACATCTTTTATCCACAAGATGTCGCTAGATACTAAAGTTGTCTGCGAACTAAGGTTGATAGGAAGCTATGCTAATGAAAAATAGTTTTGATCTTTCTCTGGAAGAGATCTTTTGAGCATTCACTTGAGCACTCATTCAGCTTGAAATGATAATTGTGAAGGAAGGTTGCTTTACAGGGATTTTATTTGGTCTGTAATAGTTCTGGCACCCTGTCGAGATCTATTTTAATAGTATGATAAATTCTATCTGATATTGAGTATATTTTAAGTAATCTGGAAGTGAGTTGGTTATGATGTTTTAAACACTTGAGTTTCTTAAAATATTGAGAAGTAAGTGATAGTATGGAAAAGAGCATGTATGGATTTCTGTTTTGTATCCACTTGTACTTTTTGATGCTGGAAATACAAATAATCACATTTTATATTTATTAACATTTTTTCCAGAATTTTGAGGGGTCCATACTTACAAGGAAAAGAATTGACTTTTATTTTGTATTGGATATTTTTCTTGCATAAAGATCTTCTGTTTGCTTACTCATTTGCCAAAAACTGAACTGAATTCAAGCTCCGTAAAGGGGCACAAATAACTTTAATGTATATTTATCTTGTACTGAGAGAAAAAATATTATTAACACTTTAACTACTTACATACATTTCAAAATTTTGGCAAAATTATACTGTGTGTATTTGGTCAAAGATTCAAGAACACAAGGATGTTGCTTATGTTTACTGTTGCTTTGTTCCTTTAGTTAATATTTAATGATACAATGATATTTAACCTTTATTAAAATATAGAGGGAGAAGGAAGCCTAACAAAAGTAATTAAATGGAATACATCTGGAAGTTAATGTGATGTGTTGGAGTTCAGTACAGCTAGCTCAAGGTGGATAATTATAGTTCATCCCTTAAAATAAAATTGCTTTCAGGGTGAAAACATCAGGAATTCCTCAAGCTTGTAATGGTTTGTACTGATAAGAGTTAGGAGAAAGAGTTAAGACTTGTTGTCTTAATGAACAAATTCTGCCCATAGGTTATCAGCTTTGTAAGCTATAACTGACAGAATGACTTATAGGCAGACATCAGGCATTTTATTAAAATAGCAGGGGGTGGGGGGACCGTGAAACCTGTGACTTATCATTTCTTAGGAATCATGGAACATTTTTAAATGTTCTCTTGTAAGAATTACCTCTTCCTTTCTGTTTTAAAAGAAATAATGTAACTAATATTGTAATTTACCCAAAGAGACTCAGATCATACTCTGGTGTCAGGCTTATGCTCTGACTTTTTCTGAATCAAAATTTAAAATAAAATACATACAAGTTTGGGTTTTTTTTCTGAAGGTGATATTATTGATTGCTAGACTAATTGTTTTAATTTTACATTTTCTTGTGGGTCTTTTGTGAGTGTAACGGAATAAATATTGTTTTCAAAAATAATTTATATCAGTGATGTGTTCCAAGAACATCTGAAATTCACATTTCCTGCATTACAGCTCATATGGGCTGCCCTGTAGGAACTGAATATGTTTTGAGCTTATGTATAAGCGATTTCCTTGTCCCTGAAGGCACCCGTATCTTGACAAACAAATAATTCATCCAAACAAAAATGTAA